CGGCGCCGGCAGCTCCCCCGCAGCGGCCTGTGCGCGCAAGGCCCGCGCTGCACCGGTGTTCCTGTGTGTCCGCCTGTAACCGTGTATGTGGCGCCTGCGCTTTGATACCAAACTGAGCTTGATGGGCTGCATTCTTGGAGTGACCGTGTCAGGCTTGGTCGTTTACGAGCCTTATTTGCAATAGAAGGGAAACCTGTAAGTGCCTGTGGCAGAGCCCTCCCGGGGAGAGCGGAGTGACACATTTGTGCCCAGACTTTGTTTCGGGATATGGAAAGCATGTCCTAATGATGGGTAGTGCTGTTATGTCAGCAGCCTGATTACTTTCCTTCTCTTCCTTCTGAGTAAGTTGAGTGTTGGGAAAGCAGGATTGCCGTTTGAAAGCAGCAGAGATTCAATATAGCAGGTATGCTGAAATAATAGACCTTTGAAAAAAATGCAGTCTGTGGTATTGCTGTGAGAGTGTAGTTTGTGCATTCGGGTGACTAAGGTGAGCAATTTAATGAGCGGCTAGTCGGAGACTGCCATTTCTGTGCCCTTCCTCGGTGGTGCTGCCAGGCCGTGTGTTCTTCTCCCTTTCCTCATCCACAGGAGCTCAGCAGGGGAGTTTCTGCTGAGTTCCTCTCTCCAGTTTCCTTCCTCTGCAAAACAAAGAAGGTGGAAAGGAAACTGCAGAGCTCTGGAATAAAACTAGGGGATTTCTAGAAGAGTGTATTCACGGAAGTTTGAAGCTTAGTTTTCCTGTGTGTTAAATGTGAACAGGCAGTGCGACTCTTCAGGATTCAAGCCCTGGCTGGCTTTGGCGTGCGTCTGGCTTCATAATGGCAGGTCTAAATGCTCAGTTCCTAAGCCCAATGCCTCACACTTACTAAGAGAAAACTCCAGGATCGGGCACTTAAAGAAACACTTTTTCTGAAGAGTATGGTGCTCACAGTATCTGTTATTCCCATGGAGGTTGCCTTCTTAGTGTTGTATTGTCCCATTTGTGTTGTGAAATGGGAGAAAAATCCCCCCCTGGTACTCCTCAGACAATGATTAGTAACTTTTAAAGATATTTATCGTAGGGGTTGCAGAATATTTACAGAAATGCTTTGTCACCAAAGCTAGGGATCAGTGTAGCGCACTGAATTAGGGATAGCCGCAGGTGTGGAGAAGCATGGGAAGGCTGTCTGCAAGGAGCACAGTTGCTTCTTGTCAAGGTCTGCCTGCGTTATCCCAGAGCCTGGACTACACAGGTGTTCCTGATCACTCTGCTGAACTAAATGAAACTAAATGAAACTGAAACTAAATTTGCTCTCCAAATGATAGTTGTATTGTTTTTGGTCTGATAGGCTGTAGAACTCTTTACTAGTTTTAAAACTTAGTATTCAGTTTCCTTTGTCCTTGGTTGTGTGATGCATTTGGTTTACCTTGTTTGCATGTTAGATCCCACCAGAAACTGTTGATACTAGGGAGCTTTTCCACCAAGTTGAATGTGGACTGACTTGTGTGCATTTAACAGTGATTGACTTCTGCAGTGTAGGCTGGAACCTTGCTGGGAAGGAGTAACTGAACCAATCATTAAAACTAGATGTCGAGTACTGATAATATATTTCTCTGTATGCTTTAAACTGGTTCTGCTGCCAGCCGTCTGAGGAGGCTATCTTTAACTTAGATCAGTTCTCTGTTCTGGTCTGCTGTATACATTCGTAGATCCTTGTGTCCACACAAGAGAGTAAGTGGCACGGGGGCACAACTGCTTTTGGTGGCTGTGCTGGATTGTACCAGCTCAAAGCACCTGTCTAACTAAGTGTTAGAATGTAGAAATGGGCTCTGTGGGCAGGATGAATGTTAACAACAGTAACTTTTGCTGTCTGTGGTCTGCTAGTGAGTGGACTGTGCAGTTCCAAGGATCTGTACTTGAATTGGGGGCCATAAGTGAGACAGACTTTTAAGCTCTTATCTTTCTCTTGTGAAAACTTTTTCCTTTCACAGTTACTGTTGCAGCTTCTAAGGCTTATCTGCAGTGCCTCAACACTCAGTACTGAAATACATAATTTTTATGTTTTATTTCCAGGCCCCAGCTTACCATCTCATTTTGGAGGGCATTCTAATACTATGGATAATCAGACTCCTTTTCTCCAAGACTTACAAGCTTCAAGAACGATCTGATCTAACACCCAAGGTATGTTGGGCAATTATTCATTTTTAGAACATCAGTTTATAGCTGTTAATATGCCTGAAGATCAGTGAGTTGAGTCACTGTTGCACTGCACACTGAGCTTTTTCTGAGTTTTTTCTTTTAGTGGAGATTTCTTACTTTGGGATAAGAATCCACTTATTACTTGCACACTTGAGCTCTTGCCCTTAAAATAAACACTGTAGTGAAGAGTTTAAATGTAAAAGAAGTGGTGTGACCATAGAAGAACTGCTGAGTTAAAAAAAAAAAAAAACTGGCAGCAGTTTTAATTTATGTATGGCTTTCTTTTCAAATGGAAAATATATTTCAAACAAACAACAACAAACTATGGACTAATGTGTGAAGACTGAAATATCCTCATGACTTATCTGTAGACACTATTAAGAGTGAATAGAGTTTGTCCTGGAGATTTCCCAGGACTAGTTTGTCTGAGACACAGTCTATGATAATAACAGAGGATGCAATGAATATGTTGGAAGGATGATTGGACATACTCTCTTAATGTGAAAATACTGAGATTAATAAGAATCCCTTAATTTTATCCCTTTATTTATGTGCCACAGGAATGTAATGCAATATGATGATTGGCTTCTTTCTGTGAGGTGTTGATCTGAAGTCCCAAGTAGCTAACTGGCTTTGTTTACCAGAACTTAAGAGAAGGTATCCTTTATCAATAGCATAAAAGGCTGGAATTTCTTTGTGATGCAGAGGAGTGTTTGTGAAACAGATTTGCAGGTATTTTACAGCAGCAGTTTTTATACCTTGTCATTCCAACTATATCATGCACCAGCATGCTTTGATATTGCTTGCACTAAGGATACATGTAAAGCATGTGGACTTTATAGTAAAATGTGTTTCAGAATCGCTGAATGGGATGCAAGGTCTGGAGACACAGGGCTGTAGACGTGAGAACATCTGCAGGAAATGTTCCCTTTGGAAAGCGAGTATCTGTTAAACAAGTTTGGAGTGTCCTAGCTCTGGTGTGTGTGTGTGTTAATGAAAACAACAACAGGTAAAAAATGAATAGAGCAGGAATCGAGAAAGTTAAAAAGCCTCTTCAAAATTTAACCATCCTGATTGTTGGGTTCTTGATGTTTGTCTTGTTTATTAAGGATGCAGAGAAGTGCATGCAAGGAGGACCCCAGCTTGGCAAAGCACTAAATGTTCAGATAATCTAGGGAAATATGCAGCAGTTTTTTAAGTAGCCCCTGGTTAAGTGTACTAGGGAGAAATCCACTCACATACCAGTATAGGTAAGTATTAAATAGAGATTTCTCCTGAGATAGCTTTAATCTCTGATATTTTGGAGAATCAGGGTAGTCGGTCACTTTTTTTTTTTTAATTATTATTATTCAACCTCTTGGTCATAGATGGTGGTAAGAATTGCTCTGCAACTCTTGCATCAAACTGGATTTGGTAATTGGTGACCTGAAAAAAGCTGAAATCTGTCTCTTCCTTACAGCACCAGGGATTCTATACAGATATTTCTGTGTGTGTGTTAAATTATATCATCTGGTTGCATGTGATTTCCTTCATTCACTGACAGACCTGACCTAAAGGTGTTCACAAAAGTGCTCAGACAAATCTGGAATGGTGTGTGTGGGGATTTTGTTCTGCATCTTTTTAGCTTTGAGCAGTGAGCATTTGGGAGATTGCAAAGGCAGAATGTCTGCTGCAGCTTAATGGGAACAGGGCTCAGAATTAGGAGGAAAAAGGGAAGGAATATTTGGAAATGGCTCTAACTTGGTAATAGTCCTGTTTCTGCAGGATGGTAAGGATGAAGTTCATTGTCAGGACAGTGATAGCAGACTTTCGGAGGAACAGAGGGAATAATATTACTGCTGTCCTCTTCTGATGAGATATGTACAACATATTCTGGACCAGAAATGGAAAGGAACATGAATGCTAACAAGAAACCAAAGTGATCAAGATTTAATTGTATAGATACTAAATGTATTAATTCACAGCTGCAAGGCACTGGAGAAAAAAAATATGTGATGTTAAGAGGTGCATTATAGCAAATGGCTTGACTTGGGATACTGAAAGTTTTATCACTGCCTTTTGTTGTCTATATCTTGGTAGCAGAAAGTATACGGTGTGAATGTTCTTTAATGTGATGGCATAAGTTAGCTGACAATTGATGAAGTTACGTTTAAGCTGGTCTAGTTGACTTTACTTCCACCTTCAGACCTGTGAAGTAGTAATCTTTTCAATAGGAAGAACAGTATTTGTAGGGGAAGGTCTGCTGCTACTGCTTATTGAAAGTAAGCATAACTACAGCAGTGAAGTGATTGTGTGAGTAAGTCTACTACAGTTGAAGAAATAAGGAGACTAATATATAATATATCAGAAATTTAGAGTGATTGAGTCCTTTTCTTATAATTAAAGTGAGAGTGAGTGTAAAAATAGCTTTTTAATTTTGGCTGCAGAAACCACTTAACCTTCACCGAATATCCTCTGATAGTTGATAGTGGTCTGTTTTATGCAAAATGGGATCTCAGGCAGAGGCTTCTAGGTGCATGTGGAGCTACCTGTTGTAACATGTCAGCTCCTCAGCAAGGAGAAAGCTGATTTGTCATCTGTCTTGTTTTAGTTTGATTCATGCTGCGGTATCCAATCTCTGCCACACCATAAGGAATGAGTAGGTTGTATTGGTACAGGTGCTGTAGACCTCACAGTGGAGTACTGACTACCTTCATGTTGGACAACCCTGTAGCCATACATGGAGTTTCTTGCAGTTATTGTGGGGGATGCTGCAAGAGTAAAGATGGATCAAATTACCAAAGGACAGCACTATTGCATAGCGATGTAACATGATCTTTCAGGACCAGCCTGTCACAGGGAGTCAGAGGTAGATGGCATCTTGTGCAACCTAGTGAACTGGGGAGTCACATTTCTGAAATAGTGAAGAAATCCACCTTAAAGGTAGATTCTCCATTTAGTCAAAAGTGTAGCAAGAGTACTTCCAAACTAATTTCAAGCAGTAATCAACTTTTCAGACTGATTGGCATCCTGTAATGACACAGTTTCCCAAATCAATAGCTAGAAAGGTGGTATACTTCTCTGTGACTGTCAGTCCGTGATATTTTAGGATTACAGGAGGTACTAATAAATCTATGACCAGGCAGGATGCTACCTATATAGAAAAAGTGTGGACGGAAATGTGGACTGGACGAGCGAACAGTGAAGTGGATTGAGGCAGAGCCCGGAGGGGGGTGATAAATGAGGCCGAGTCTGGTTGGAGGCCTGTGGACAGTCGTGTCCCACAGAGGTCAGTACTGGGCCCGGTGCTCTTTGACTTGTTCATCAGTGACTTGGACGAGGACACAGAGTGCACCCTGAGCAAGTTTGCAGATGAGTGGCCGACACTCCTGAGGGCTGTGTTGCCGTTAGGAGGGACTTGGACAGGATGGAGAGTTGGGCAGAGAGGAACCTCATGAGGTTCAACAAGGACAAGTGCAGGGTCCTGCACCTGGGGAGGAATAACCACAGGCACCAGGACAGATGAGAGGTTGACCTGCTGGAAAGCAGCTCTGCGGAGAGGGATTTGGGAGTCCTGGTTGACAAGAAGTTAACCGTGAGGCAGCAATGTGCCCTCGTGGCCAGGGAGGCCAATGGGATCCTGGCCTGCATCAGGAGGAGCGTTGCCAGCAGGTGGAGGGAGGGGATCCTGCCCCTCTGCTCAGCTCTGGGAAAGGAGACTTGATGAACATGTTCAAGTACCTGAGGGGTGACTGTAGGGAGGATGGGACCAGGCTCTTCTCCGTGGTCGCTGGTGACAGGATGAGGGGTAATGGGTATAAATTGAAACACAGGAAGTTTAATCTCCTTATGAGGAAGAACTTCTTTCCTGTGAGGGTGACGGAGCCCTGGAACAGGCTGCCCAGAGAGGCTGTGGAGTCTCCTTCTCTGGAGATCTTCCAAACCCGCCCTGTGCCACGTGCTCTGGGTGTCCCTGCTGGGGGCAGGGTTGGACTAGATGATCTCTAGAGGTCCCTTCCAACCTCAACCATTCTGTGATTCTGTGAAAAGTAATAGTGCCAGTAAACAGTGCAATGGATTACAAGAGGTGACTTGTTGCAGAATGATGCAATGCATGCTCTCCAGCCACCAACCATTGGCATGAGAGGAAGAAGCCTGCCAGATATGACTTTAACTCTGAAATACATGATAGCAAGCTTCTCGCAATATATTTGGAGTCATTGCGAGCAACATCTTACATCTCTATATGAGAGGCATAGTTACTTTCTTTGGTTTCAGAACTTTTATTACAGCAGTAGCGTGCGAAATGTTCAACTATAGAAATACGAGGGTATTAGTGAGTTCCTGTCAGAGAAAAATGTTTAATAAATAGGTTAGAAATAATTTTGTAGGCCATGAGAACAAGGCACTTTGCACACATAGTATTCAGGCACGGGCTGTTCTGCAGAGAAGAACAGAAGTGAACTGTTCTTATAAATGCTTTCATTTTTTTTGAGGCAAGGCTCCATACATGTATGAAAGTTCTTTTAAATATTAATACAGCTTGACAGAGAGAAATTTTCAACTAATGTGATCATGGTTTGTGACAATTTATGGTATCCTGATATATCATGATTCTGTAAATACCAAATTAGAGAACTATGTTTTGAGGAGTGCAATGACTGCAAATAAAAATGAATTAATGTGTGCATATTGACACAGATATGTGTATTACATTGTTTCAAAACACTTTTGTTACCTAAGAGTTGTCTACATGAACATGATTATTACCTAGTTTGAAAACCAGAGTCAGCAGAGCAACTGATTAAATAATTTGTCTTGAATGTGTGTGCACCTAAGTGTTTGTGTTACTCAATGTTATTTCATCTTTAAAGATAAAAGTAACTCACTCCCCAGCAAAATGTAAGTGTGTGTGTGTGTATAAAAATTTTAAAAGGAAAAGAGGAATTGCTGAGAGATGTGTTCACTTACATTACAGCCAGAGTGAGAGAAATTGGCATTTTTTTTTTCATTGAAAGGGAATTGGCATGCAGTGAAATGAGAAGAGCTAAGTGAATCAAGCATATATTAAAGATGCCACAGCTGCAAATCAAAAAGTGTTTTTCTGTATATTGGAAAATTATCATTTTAATTCTTGGTTTTAATATCGGTTTAAAGTGTGGTGTACCTGTGGAAGGTACAAGAGAGAAGTGTTGTTAAATGTGAGGACATTGGAGTAAAAGCTTTCCAAGACAGTCACTCCATGTAAACCTGCTTTTATGGCATCTTAAATTAATAGCTTCTGATAAGATCAAGAGATGCTCATAAGGGTTTAGTCCAAAAGGTCAGCAGGATAGGCCAATTGGCTGGTCCAGTTTAGTTTGGATGGTCTCTTGGGGTTGGTACATACTGCAATCCTCGATATGCCTAGTCCTCCACAGTAATAAAGAAACTTCTGTTCTAGAAACTTTTGGTGCACTACTGCCTGTGCAGTGCATACAGAAATATATGTGCAAGGAGAACACATGAGATAAGAAGATACAAATGCTTGTCCTTTATGTCTTTATGTTCTTTAAAATGCAGTGATGTAGCAGGTGAGTGCTAATGTGAGCTAGAACTGGTGAAGTTTTGCTGTTGAGAAGGAGGTTTACTCTTCTGTGTATTGTATTTTGTGAGGAGAAAAAAAGGCAGATTATTGACATACCTTGTCACCTGTGCTCTTAGTTTTTGTGTGCTTCACACATTTTGAAGAAGGAATCAAAGCTTCTCACAAGCTGGTGTGAGTGGAAGGGAGAGAAATACTAAATAGGGACTGCATATTCACACATTTCAGTTACAATTTAGTTGTGATGGCCTGTATGTCTTTTTATAAAGGGTGCTTTTCTTTCTGCTACATTCCGTATTATAGAGGTTATAACTGAATTTCTGCTCTTAAGTATTCAAGATGTTCGATTGTATTTGGTACCCAGAGTTCAAAAATATTAAAGAAAGGAAAAGCAAAGTACTTGCACTCAGTTTGTGACATGTGGATACCAGCTATAGAGGAGCAGATTGAAGGCTGCATGAGTGTGCGTAGTGACATCCTCTTCTGGTTTTCAGAAGCCTTTTTTTTGAACTCTGTTGTGGAAGAGTATAAATGCAGTAGTGAAGAGTAGTCGATAATATTCATTAATAACTTATGATCAGTTGTCTATTATTTATTTTTAATTAAGTATTCAAATCTGCTATTTGCCATGCATCTGGATGACATTGGTACAGAGCACATATGTAGCTTTAGTGCTTAACTGTTTGCTGAAGAAACGTCATTTCAATGCATGTGCTGCAGCTGCATGCGGAGCTCAGGGGTTTGTCTATAGTGGATGAAGAAACTAAGCACCTCTTCTAACCAAAGTGTAGCCACTTCAAAATACTGAATATGTTTAATTCAGTTGCACATATTAATGGCACTTATTTCCTTTCAAATATATGCTTCTTGGGTAGAATTCTAGTAAGAAATCCAACATGAGAAAGGAGAATAAAAATTTAAAGTACATCTGCAAAATATTAAAAAACAAGGAACTATGCCCAATAAAAATATATCTTTTGAAATACAGGACTATTTAAATTTCTATTTGAGTTTTGAAATAGACTGAGCTCTTGGGAGATTAATTAATATTTCAACAAAACTTAAAATGAAATTATTCATTAGTTTAGTAAAAGGAAGGCAATGCAAATAAAGGAGAGTTGAACATGTATCTTTAGTTTCTTTCTGATTTCTGACATCTTTGATTTGTCTTAATAATTGGTGATGTCTTTTGTGTATCATTTCTTAGTAAAATAACTTTATATGGGACTAGTTTGATGTATCCAGGATCCTGGTCTTGTGCATGTCCATTTGGAAATTTAAGTTTTTGTATGTATTTGTAAAGCATTTTAAAAATGAATATGCTTTTGCTATTCCTCCATGGTTAGGCAAGGATAAGTGGTTTAGTAGTTGTGCTCCTCTTTCTGAACATTCTGTAGTCTGTGTTCTCCACCATATGGAAAATGTATATGTGTTATTTTGCTTAGCATGTTACTACCACTATTGTTAAATGTTGAACATTTTAGAATATGAATTGAGCTTGTTTGTTTTCAATTATTACTTAATTTGTATTTAGTTACTTGGATATATTGTAGAGGAGGATTTTCATTAGTTAGAAGCCTAAACAAAATAGTATTGATTAAAATTTGGCAGGGGCACTGAATTAGTATCTCTTCTTCTGATTATCATATCAAAACATGCTGATGTAATACCAATCTGAAGCGAGTCAGAAAGTTATCATGTATTGGTGTGCATCATTTCTGATGTATCTATTATCAACTATTTATTAAAATATATTTTTTTCTAATGGAAATCCTTTTTTGAGCAATATGCTTTCTTCTTTAGGAAAAAGAAGAATTGATTGAAGAATGGCAGCCAGAGCCTCTTGTTCCTCCTGTATCAAAAGATCACCCAGCTCTCAACTATAACATTGTTTCAGGGTAAATCTGCCTGAAGTGATTTTTTTTTTTTTTTTGATTTCTGCTTAAACAGTTGATATCTGTATTCTTAAGTGTGTTGCTACACAGGGATATCAGTACCCGCCAAAACTTTCATAAATGAATTGCCTCTGTAGCCTAACAGGACTGATTTACCGCTGAAAAGGTCTCCTTATTAAGGCAATCTTAAGATAGAGTTTCTTAATTTAAATGCCTGAATTCAGCAGTTTTTAAAATACTGATGTGGGGGCTTTGTCTTAGCATTTGTTCAGGTATATATTATATTGTTTGGTAATCTTGATGTGTTTTAATATTAGAGTAGACCTAGAGGTCCAGAAGTGGTTATAGTGGGGGTGGAGTTAAGGGGACACAATACATTTCACATGAATTTGATTTGGTGGCTAGCTATATGGAACATCATGAAACCTAGTGCCTTTTAAAGGTAATAAATTTGGACAACAAAAATGATGGTAGTTGATGGCAAGCTTGTTTTGTGAAGGAATTTCGTATTTTTTTTCAGGGAATTATGGGTCAGCATTACATTGTTAGATATTTTGAGGTTTATAAAAATATTTGTGATGTTTTAGCCAGGAGTCACAGTGGTTTTAGAAATTGCTTAAGAAATTTCTTTCCCAAGCTTCACCTTTGTTACTCATATTGATAACTTATGAAATGTAAACATTCTTAATATCCTGTCAGTGACATTAATACTTTCAAATAATGTTGTGACATAGCACAATCATTTGTTCTCACAAGTTGTTGCCTTTTGAGGCCCAACCAATACAGGGAAGAAATGATTGCTCTGAAAAAGGATGCCTATTTTAACTGACTTCAGTTACATGAAGAGTAACTGTTTTTGACCCTCTTCTATTCAAGACTTTGAAACAAAGCAGTAGCTTAGAGTAAAAGAAGGTTAAAGGAGGTTTTTTTGGTTTTGTTTTTTAAGATCAGAACAAAGAAACCTTTTAGCTTGTTTCAGAAAATGCGTAATTATTTAGGGCCGTCCAGTGCAGGCAACATACTGCAATAGAATGTTAATATGTTATGGCTGTTAAACTTAACAGCTGCTGTGGGGACGACTTGGCATATTTGCGGTAAGGTTTAGTCTGCTAGCCAATCACTTTACCATTAGATGTAGAACAGCAATAAGCTTGAAACCTGGCCTGTAAACTCAGGCGTCATTTCAGAGTTAATGCAGAAATGAAAGTTTCTTTAGCCTAATTGTAAGTCAAGAGCATTTCTGGCAAGCGCATTTTCAGTAAGCATTTTAGGAGGAACCATACTGATGCTAGAGAGATATTTCCCTGATTATGATGTGTTGATGTCTCCTATGAATGGTGACTTGGGTATATCTCAGTTGCATATGTTTGTGGTGGTTTAATACTGCATACTTGATATAATGTGTGGATTGCATTTGGATAGGCTCATAACTATTCTAAGAAGTATTAAATATTTCAGTAAAATCGTAAAAATTATTTTGACTCACAATCTGGAGGGGACCTGCCTTAATCCTCCCTTAATATGTAAAAAAGTTTGTGCTTCATTTTGTATGTGTTAACATGTTTTTTTCTGGCCAACATTTTTTTCTTTCTTCTTTTTCTAAACAAGATTCCAGTGTTTTATATTGCTAAATGATAAGTAAAGCCATGATGATACTGTAATTTTTTA